GGGATGTTGGGGGCTTTTAATGGGAATTGGAAAAAAGTTGGGAAAAATTGGGATTTTTGGGTGTTTTTAGTGGAAATTCTCCATTTTTAATGGGATTTTAGTGGGGTTTCAAGGGGTTTTTTTGGATGTTCTTTTCACCGATGACCTCACTGATGATGTCACTGATGACGTCACAGATCCAGAAGGTGGTGATGGCCCTGGGGGATTACACGGGCACCTCAAAAATGGGGATTTATATGGGATTTTGGGTGTTTTTAATGGGAATTCTCCATTTTTAATGGGATTTTAGTGGGGATTTTTGGGATTTTGTGGTTTTTTGGGATGTTCTTTTCGCCGGTGACCTCACCGATGACGTCACCGATGACGTTACAGATCCAGACCTCAGAAATGGGGATTTTAATGGGATTTTGAGTGTTTTTAGTGGGATTTTAGTGGGGATTTTTGGGATTTCAGGGTTTTTGGGGATGCTTGTCCTGCTGATGATGTCACTGATGACGTCACTGATGACGTCACCGATTCAGACCTCAAAAATGGGGGTTTTAATGGGACTTTGGGGGTTTTTAATGGGAATTTTCCATTTTTAATGGGATTTTGGGCATTTTTAATGGGATTTTAGTGGGATTTTAGTGGGGATTTTGGGGTTTTTTTGGATGTTCTTTTCACTGATGACATCACTGATGACATCACTGATGACGTCACAGATCCAGAAGGTGGTGATGGCCCTGGGGGATTACATGGGCACATCAAAAATGGGGATTTTGAGTATTTTTAATGGGAATTCTCCATTTTTAATGGGATTTTCGTGGGGATTTTGGGATTTTTGGGGTTTTTGGGGATGTGCGCATCAAAAATGGTTTTTTGGGGGGATTTTGGGTGTTTTTAATGAAATTTTGGGTGTTTTTAATGGGATTTTGAGCATTTTTGATAGGATTTTAGTGGGGATTTTTGGGATTTCGGGGTTTTTCGGGATGTTCTTTTCACCGGTGACATCACTGATGACATCACCGATGACGTCACAGATCCAGAAGGTGGTGATGGCCCTGGGGGATTACATGGGCGCCTCGTGCCACGCCTGCATCGGCGGCACCAACGTCCGGGCCGAGGTGCAGAAGCTGCAGATGGAGGCGCCGCACGTGGTGGTGGGGACGCCGGGACGTGTGTTCGACATGCTCAACCGCAGATATCTGTGTGAGTGACCCGAAATCGCCAGAATTCACCCCAAAATCGGCTGAATTGACCCCAAAATTGGCATCGGGGGGCTTGAAAACCCCCAAAAACACCCAAAAAACCCTAAAAAACGCCTAAAAATCCCCAGAAAACACGCAAAAAAAGCCCTAAAACGCCAAAACGACCCCAAAAAATATTCCCAAAAAAACCCCAAAAAACGCCTCAAAAAAGTCGCAAAAAACTCCCAAAAAACACACCCAAAAAACGCCTCAAAACCCCCAAAAAACACCCCAAAAAGAACCCAAAAAGCATCCCAAAAACCCCAAAAAACACCCCCAATAAATCCTCAAAAATACCTCCAAAAACACCCCAAAAAAATCCCAAAAAAACACCCAAAAA